ATCCCCTGACACCCCTCCCCCAAGCCTTGTCAGAGGAGAGGATGCTGGGGTGAGGTGAGTGTCAAGGTTGTCTGTTGTGATCAGCACCAAAATTTTTTAATGCGTTCCACATAGTATCTCTGACCCTTAGTTTCCTTGTGTAAAAAAAAAAAAAAAAAAGACAAGCTTGGATAATGTAATGTTTAGGGCACTTCTAGCTTTAAAATTCCACAAACTATATTCAGATTCTAGTTTAAAAAATATAAAAGCTGTTGCAGCCACTGATTAATTCCCTTACACACAAAATGATAAAACCCACACAAAATATGCCTTAGCTGGAGTTTGAGATCTTACTAACAACAAAAAATGTGTTTTCTATTCGGTAATGGCCATTTAATCAAAATGGCAGCGTGAAAATGTCCTGCCTCTGTCCATTCTGCTTCCGAACAACAGTCAGCAAATGACGGCTGGGCTCCCCAGAGAGCGTGGCCAGGCCCTGCCCCCCAGCAGCAGGGACATCGGCCGAGCTCTGACTTCATCCTGGACACACTCCCTCTGTCATTTCCCCTCTGCCAACATTCTCTGGAATTCCTCCTTACCCTCCCTAAAAAATGTTCTATACTCTCACCGTATTAACATTGTCTTTATTTTCTGTTTTCTGATGTCTTGACACCTGGGGTCCTGCTGAGCCTGGAGGGACTGTCCCTGCAGGACTAATCGATTCCCAGAGACAATAAACAACCAGCCTGAGAGTGAGCCTTTCACATACAAGCCAACCAATCGGAGGCTGCACCCCAGCGCCTTCTCCATGGGGCTCTCACTGTTCTTCTGCCCTAACCATCCAGGGCCAGGTCCCAGGCCACCAGGGAAAGCCAATCTGTTGGCCTTCCAGTACCTAGAGAATAATAAAACCCACATGAAAACACCTCACTTCCTTCCTGTTCCTTGAAGGGCCTATATGAGTTGGATGCCAAAGGCATGCTCTGTCCCCACATCCCTGAAAGGGCTTTTCACACTGACCTCTGCACTTGTCATGGTGTTGGCCGGGTCTGCCAAGGCGGCAAACTCAGCCTGGCTGCACCTTTGCAGCCGCCCTCGTTAGTGGCCATGAGGGAGCTCCATGGGTCTCTTCCTGGATTGCATCTGTCCATTCTGCATCCGCAGTAAGACCAGAGCCCCTTCTCAAGCCTGACATAGGACTTTGACTGTACATTGTTTACTGCGTGGAATGATGAGGCCACGCCTTCACCCCCCCTTCTTCCCTCTGTACTTGGCCTCTTGGGTTTGTAGGTCTGAACCCTCTATCTGAGCAGCAAATCCCTACCCAGCCCCTCTCTCAGACCCACGTGATGCCTCCTTGCAGGTCCTGCCTGCCTTGCGCTTCTCGGCCAGGCAAGCAGCACCCGACACCCAGCTTGGTAAGGCAGGGAGGCCCCACGGGTGGAATCAGCTTCCCCATGCATCTCGAGACCTCCAGGTTTGCCAGTAGGACTGAGAACTTGACTTGTTAGGACATCAGTGAGTCAGAATCCCTCACAGAAACTCCAAGCACCAAGCACAGACCTTGGAAACACAGGCTACTTGATACCCTACAGTCAGGGGACTCACTCTCCACTTCTATGGCCAAAGGAACTCACACCCACTTGAGCCTCAAGGCAACCTTTGCCCCTGCCGGGGCGGGGGGTTAGGGGGTGTCAGTGCATTGAGGCACTAAACTTCCATCTTAATGTGTATAGCCCTTTACAGTTTGCAGGTTTCTCCTATTTGCTGTCTCATTTCATCCATAGAAACAACTGGAAAACAATCACGCAGCAACATAAAGTAATGGTTGATGACACTACTATAAAAGTTAAGTTTTCTGATGAGTTGGGCAAAATATTGAGGAAAAGAAAGACTTTATTTAGTTTTAAAAAAATCAATTCATGCAGGGGTGCCTGGGTGGCTCAATGGGTTAAGCGTCCGACACTTGATCTCAGCTCAGGTCTTGATCTCATGGTCATGAGTTCAAGCCCCACTTTGGGCTCCATGCTGGGCATGGACCCTACTTAAAAATAAAATCAATTCATAATACAAAGGCGGCTTTCTTCCTATGCCCCCCAAGTGTTTCTCAAGATCAAAAGAGTTCTTTAATAATAATGACTAATGTTTGTATTTGCATAATAATTTATAGCTTACAAAGTATTTCCAAGTACATTTTCTTATTTAATTCTTGCCAAAAAAAAAAAAACCCCCAACCTAACACAAGATTGGTGCTTTGTCCCCATTTTATGAATGAGGAAATTGAGGCTCAGGGAGTCAACATTTTCGGCTGAGCATTCACTACCAGTTTAATGAAAGCAGATGTTATAAAGTGTTGAAATGAAAAAGCAAGCTCATTTATGGCCTCATTACAAAGTTCCACTCTGGCTTCCTGTTCTTCATCACTCCCCTGACTGGTGAATTCTGTCCCTGGGCTGCCTTCCCCACTGCAGTGGTCCAGGCACAACCTTGGGACACCCGGTCTGAGAAGATGGAGACACGACCCTTGAGGGGAGGGGATGCAGGAGACGTGGTGCTTGGGGACCCGGGGATGCAGCTCCAACAGCAGGGGAACCATCCACAAAGTGTGAAATGCAGCTCTTTGGGGGAAACCACACAGACAATACCCAAAACAAACCCAAGCTTCCAACAAAGCTGAATGAGAGAATAAGTCTAGTCTCATTCCATGGGGTTGTGCTTAGAGTATGATGCTGTTACCCTGGCTAAGGGCTTTGGATACAGAGCAGCAACTCAAACATCTGCTCATTATTGCTCCCTGCTCTCTCCCATCACCAGCATCATGCTGAAGACTCATGAGGGAACCCGCCCTCCTTGCAGTCACTGTGAGTGGGGGTGGCAGACCCCACGGTGACCCCTGGAAGGAAGACACACACCTACCTCACCCTCCTGCACCCCAAAAGGAAGAGGCCCACCAGGGTAGGAGCAAAGGGAAAGGCTAAGGGCTGCTGTCACTCCCTGGAGGCCCGCTCGCCTTTTCCTCCCCAGAATGGCTCCAAGGTCAGTGTTGGGAAAGAGTTTGTGCTTTGGCTTATTTTAGTAGACAATTGCATTATGTGTTGAGACCGTTTCAATAAGTAGGTGGGCCTGAAGATGTGCAGGCCTTAATATTTGTTCTCTCCGCACCATGGGCCGTGTCCATGCCCCTCTGCATCCGTGGCTACACCAGGACCTGGGCCCTTAGACAGACTGAACCTAAGGGTAAAAATCAATTCCAAATTCACATTCCCCCAGGGAGAAGGGAATCTATAATTGTTGTTGTTTTTTTTTTTAACAAGGCTGATTTCACACATCACACACAGCCTGAGGCCGTGTGGACAAGGTGGTTGGAGCAGGGAGAAAATACACAGCCAGGCTGCTGAGTCCCCTCCCCGCCCTCCCCACTAGCCACAGGAGAGCAGCTGAGCCTCTGGAAGTGACAGGGCTCTAAATAGAGAGAAAATTTCGCACATATGCTCGGCCGATTTTCAAAAGAAGAAATCATAAAGTACTTGTGCTAGCAAGTAGCCTTCCTTGTATTACTTCTCAAAGCCCGCTGGATTTAACCCCCTGTGGCTTCCAGGCTGCTGGAGTGAAATCATAAACAATGCCGTTATTCTGCCCTTAAGAGGCTATTGACCATCTTTGCGGTCCGGTTAGGGAAAATATTCTTCGGGGAAGTTGAGGGCTTTAGCAACTCCTGGTTCAATTTAACCGTAAACAATTAGAACAACCGTACGGTTGCAGCTATACTAGTTTGTTGGGGCCACAACAAAGTAACAGCCCGGGCTGCTTGAACAACAGGATGTTATCATCTCCCAGATCTGGAGGCTGAAGTCCAAGGTCACGGTGTTGGTTCCTTCGAAGGCCTCTCTCCTTGGCTTGTTGATGGCCGTCTTCCGCCCGCATCTTCACGCAGTCTCCCCTCTGTGTGTGCCTGTGTCCAAATCTCTTCTTCTTAGAAGGACACAGATCGTGTTGGACGAGGGCCCACCCCATTTTAACTTAATCACCTCTTTAAAGACCTGACATCCAAGTAGGGTCACATTGTGAGGTCCTGGGGATTAGAACATCAACATACATATCTGGGGAAAGGACACATTTTTGGCCCTTGTCACCAACCATAAGCTTTTCTTCACATGAAAGGAACAATTTATATGTTTCTCCTTCCAAATACATGTAAGCCTACATAGAATTCTTTGGTTACCTTTCTTCAACAACATTCTTTAGTAATTTTATGAGTATTATTTACATCTAAATGGACTTCAAGTTTATCTTTGGCAACTTACTGAATTTTTTTGTTTTGTTTTGTTTTTAGATTTTATTTATTTATTTGAGAGTGAGAGAGAGAGCATGAGAGAGGGGGAGGACCAGAGGGAGAAGCAGACTCCCCACTGAGCAGGGATCCGGATGCAGGACTCGATCCTGAGACTCTGGGATCATGATCTGAGCTGAAGGCAGTCGCTTAACTGACTGAGCCACCCAGATGCCACGATTTTTGTTTTAATCTATAAAAGTGGTAGACCATAACATACTCTTGGGCTTTGGGCTCTTCCAATTCCTCAAACTTAAATACAAGACAACACAAAAGTAGAGCCCCACAAAACAGGCAGGCAGTCTGACAGGGCAGGAGAGATCGGGAGCGTTGCAGTTCCCAGACCCAGTGCCCAGGGGCTCTGTCTGATGTTCCTGTGCAAGCTTGGGCAACTGGGACCTGATATCCCCGAGAGTCAGTTCTCCGTCTTCAGAATCACCCTGCCCTCTGAGGTCCTTAGGATGACCTAATGAGATATTGTAAAGCAATGAAATCCTAAGGGGTGAGAGTAACATCTTTTTATTTTTTTTATTTCTTTATTTTTTTTATTTGACAAGCAGCATTATCATGTTTGTCATTTTAATGTAGATACAATTATTAGGTTATCTGTCATATTACAATATTTAAGTTTTTTATTTTATGTCCTTTAAGATACATTTAAAAAAAAAACACACATCAACTGCAAACGTGAAGGGAGAAAAAGCATGGTACCCACCCAAATTTCCACATTTCAGCAATACTTCACTCATTCTTTTAATAAAGTTTTAAGAAATGTCATAATGACATGAGCTTGAAATATCTCTAGGCATTTTCTCTGACGCTCATGACATGGCACTGGTGATGTTGTAAACAGCAGAAAAACAGGGCCTGCCAAATGACCAAATTATGGAGGCACAGGCCTGCTTTTTCCCACAGGAACACACCAAATGGTGATGGCAATGATCTCACACCCACCCTAGAGGAGAGCGACATCGTGCTACGTAACTGTATTCATCTGCTGACGCTTGGCTGCATTCGATGTACTGTTTGTCTATCAGAACTTCAATACACTTCTCAATCATGCTGATACTAGGATTAAACCTAGCTCTTGACTGGCTAATCACCTCTTGAATAAGGGCATTATGACGAAGTCCTTTCCGTGCTTTCATGATACAAACTATAGCAGCCTGGAGATACATTTTCCGGTCCTCATCTATAGCACTTCTCATCTGCTCCATTTCCTGTGGTGTGTCTTTCTGCATTGATGTAGTAATTTTAAATTTTGTTCTTTTATTGCTAAAGTTCATATTTAATGAAAATGAAGGTTCTGCATCAATGTCTTCCTTTTCTGAATCATGGTTAATCATTTTCACATCAAGTAATGATTTCATTGTTTTTGTCAGTTCCTTTTCATTCATCTGAATGCTGTCCTGAAGCTCTTTATAGCTGACAGTTTCACTGTTGTTAAAGGCAAGAAGAGCTGCCATTTTGGTATGTGGTAACCATGGCTACATATGGTTTGCCCAAATAGTTCATTTTAACTTCACCTGTACAGAGATAATGTAACCATGTCAGTTTCCTTCCACTGAAATGCTGGCTGTAAAATAATTCAAACATCTGTACACTTTTTTCCAATTCCTGGGGAATTGCAAATGTAGATGAAGGAGCCTGAGTAAGAGGCCATGCACCAGCCTGTAGAACATATATTTGAAAACTAATTCCCAAATCTATTACTGTGTCTTGATTTTTGATAAAACTGTTAAATTTAGGGCGCCTGGGTGGCTCAGTTGATTAAGTGACTGCCTTTGGCTCAGGTCATGCAGGGAGCCTGCTTCTCCCTCTGACCCTTTCCCCTCTCATGCTGTTTCTCTCTCTCTCTCTCTCTCAAATAAATAAATAAATAAAATCTTTAAAAAAAAACTGTTAAATTTATTGTTGAGATCGGCACTGACACTCATATCTGTATACATCCGATGTAGCTTGCTGGTAAATTCCATAGACATAGATAACCCATGAATTAAACGTTTTGCCAGCATTCTTGCGTAGAACTTTTGAAAAATATCCTTATCATTGATATACTTGAAAACGGTAACGAAGCTCGTGAGTTTGTCCTCTACTTCATTCTCTGTCATCCCCTTAGGTGACTTCTTTAATAAGTTGTCACAGTACTTAGCAAGCAGTTCAGGTGCTTTGCAAACAGACTTGGGTTCTCTGTAATTTACAACTGATGTAAGGGCCTTATCCAATGCACTCATAAAGTGCTGATCACCATTTAAAACAGTGTTGATAAGTTGAACAAATTTACCATGTACTTCCAAAACTGACTCCACAAATAGTGTTGGCATATTTTCCTGAGTAAGATTACTGGTTGCTCTAAGGCCCTCATCATGGATATGATTTTGCAGCTCCTGAATCATATGAGGTAAACCAGTGGACACAGCATGAAATAAGACATACATATTTGCCATGTCATTTTTTTTCTCTTGTCGGATGATATTTTGACATTCTGCATGTAGGAACTGTAAGTGGTCTGCTACCATTCGTTGCTGACATTCATGAATCACTTTAGTATATGAACTTGGATGCAAGTATTTTCGACATCGAATTTCTTCATCTTTTAATCTGCCTAGAACCTTTTCCATATACTGTGAGCAGTTTGATTCTTGTAATAAATTTGAAGCTTCTTGTTTGTAATACTCTCCTGTTTCAGTCAGAAAGGGAGACTCAAAGATTTCCTGATAAAACTTTAAGGGGAATTTTTTCTTATACTGTTCAACATGAACAAAGGAGTTAATAACCCCATGGATTACTTTCTGGTTTGGGTCTTCTCCACCATGTTCATTTTTTATTTCTCGGAGCAACATTCGGATAAGGATGGTCTGAAGTGGTTCAACCATCAATTTCCTCCACATATCCAATGCTAGCTCTCCTATTTCCATAAGTGGTTCATTCATATCTACACCACCATAGCCATACTGAAGGTCAGCTTCTGTCAATTTATTCTTTTTAATAAACTGGGTGTTGAGATACCTATACAAGCAGTCCATATAGTCTGCACCTTTGCTATATTCCTCCCAATACCTATGATACATAACAAGTACTTGCTCTTCAGACTCCAGAACTCTCTTGTGCAAATGCCGTACATGATTTTCCAAAAAAATCTTAGTTTCTGTATAAAGTCTTTCTCCAAGGGGTTCAGGATAGGCCACACATAAAGCATAGATATCTGAGAAGCGATTGTTCCATGTTGCTCTTTTGACATATTCCAACATGACAACAGCTTTGATTGTCGTTAAAGGTTTGTTCCGTATTTCATCAAAATCTACTACTCTTGGTTTCAAAGACATTGTGCAAGTTTAGTGTTGAAATCTTCTGCAGAAGCGGGACTAGGGACAGGGGACAAGGGGTGGGGGGCAGCCTGAAGGAGTGAAGGATGAAGCCCCCGGCGAGGAAGGTGGGTGGCAGCGGCTGTCAGCTCGCGTTCCCCAGCTCACAGCGCTGCCATTACTGTGCGCCTAGGCTGCCTCCCCGGCCAGCCGCCACCACCGGCCCAGGAGACACGGGGGTGGGGCACATCTTTTTATTTTTATTTATATTATTTTTAAAGATTTTATTTATTCATTTGAGACACAGAGATACAGAGAGAGAAAGAGAGAGAGAGAGCATGAGCAGGGAGAGAGGCAGAGGGAGAGGGAGAAGCAGGCTCCTTGCTGAGCCAGGAGCCCGATGTGGGGCTCGATCCCAGGACCCTGGGATCATGACCTGAGCCGAAGGCAGATGCTTAACCATCTGAGGCACCCAGGCGCCCCGAGTAACATCCTTTTAAATGGCATTTTTCTGTGATTCTTCAAAGTCAGGCCAAAATTCCCTCCACCTCCAAAAATGCTAAGCCAAGCCCTCCTGATACTCCCCAGGCAGTCTTACCTTGAGACCTGCCCCAGCTGCAACTGCTGCTTAGCAGGTCATCCCAAAACATAAGGGTGTCAGACACCCGTTCTTGATGCTACGATGCTGAGTCAGGGATGCCACAGGGCACAGCAGGGATGAATTGTCTCTGCTCCCTGACATTGGGGCCACAGCTGGAGACACCGCCTCGGCAGTGACTGGAAATGTCCACAGCTGTCTTCTTTTGCTGAAAGTTTCCCTGCTGGAAACTTCCCACACAGTCTGGTACCTAGACTGGGTAGACTGGAAAGTTCGACTCAGTGGGGGCTGTTGACAGGGGCACCTAGACACAGACTCCCTGTGGGGCCCGGACTTGCCACAGCATGGTGGCCTCCAGACTCCACAAACCAGTGTCCCAGCAAATGGTGTGGAAACAGCATCGCTCTTCATCGTCCAGCCACTCCTGCCATTCTGTAGGTTGAAAAAGAGTCGCCACCCACTCCAGTGCAAGAGAAGGGGACAAAGACCCCAAGTCTCCACGGAGGGAGTGTTTGTAGCAATATTTAATAAACCCACACAAGACTCTTGGGCAGAAGGAGGTCCCCTCTGGTCCCTGAGAGAAATGTTGTCCTCACTTTGGCTGGGGGCAGAGGGAGGGAGAACACTCAGAAGTGAATGAGTTTTGCCCTGCTCTACGGGAAACTAAATGCATTATTTTATTCCTTCCAAAGACATGCAGGATCCTCCACCACGGGTCTAAAAGAGCCCTGGTGACAAAGAGGGGAGGGATATAGAGGCACACTCCCCCCCCCCAGGCAGGTGAGCTTCCTGGTGTCAGAAAGGACCATCACCAGGACCCCACCCCTGCTCCTCCCAGACTTCCGGGCTGGCGCTGACTACGGAGGTGCCCACCTGCAGAAGTGGAAGGCTTTGGTTAAAAAGAAAATGGGGGAAATACATTTTCTTTTATACAAAGGCGACCTATAAAGTGCATTACACAGCACACCATATTTTATGATTTGATTTGAACATTGTATTTTGTGGGTCTGTGTCATACTCTCAAACACCAGATTCTAAGCCGCCATTCTGGCTAACATTTTCAGGGAAGGAGATTCCAGAAGGTTGCTCACTTGGGCATGTTTTCCCCCAGAAGCAGCACTGCCTGGAAGCTCCTAGTGTCTACGGCACTAACACAAACAGTACAAAACTCCGTGGTCCAGTAGGAGTATTGTCATTTCCAGGACACACCCCGCCCCCGGGGGTAGGTGTGTGTGTGTGGGGGGAATGGCCAAGCACCGTGACTTACACAGCTTTTCACTCTCCTCTTCCTTCCCTCTCAGTGACCCCCCCCCCACTCCACCATTAGCATTGTATTTATAAAAGGAGAGAGACTAATGTGTATTGGGTGATGCTGTGGCATCTCCCTCCTCGCTGGCTTGGCTTGTGTCCCTTGTCACTCTACTCCTCTCCTTCCTTGAGGCTTTCCCAGCCCAGCCTCCTGCCCTCCTGGTCGCAGGATGTAGACGCCGGCCACCAGCACCTAGGACCTGGGCTCGCAGCAACCCCAGAAGAGGGGAGGAAGCATGTTTATTTCCCACCACCCGCAACAGCCCGCACCCCGTCTGGGGATCCCCCCGCTCTGCTGACACGGGATAACCCAGCCAAACACAATCACCATAATCCCTCCAGCTCCCAATATGGATCAGCATTGCTTGATTAAACATATCTGTTTAAAGTAAAAGCCTCATTAATATCCAGGGTTGTAAGCCCATTTCACTTGGGTAACTGCTGGCCTGATTATTTGATTTGATTTATTCTTCTGCCCAGCTGCCATCCTCAGTCTCCTCTCCACTTAATTCAGCATCCAAACTAGATGTGCCTGTCTCGTCGGGTGTCCACTCTAGAGGGGCACCAAGTCTGGAGGGCCCCTTCAGTCCCGTTTTTGCCATCTTTCAAATGGCCCTCCTTTCTCTCCTGGGCAGAACATACTCAGGATATTTCAACCCCAGAAAGAGCAGGAAAACAAAACCAGGCACCATAGAGCAAATCGAGGCTTGGTTCCTACACGGGCCATGAGGGAAACTGTCCTCAACGCATGGAATTCAAGTTAAGTCTACGCTGGTCCTGGCTTCTCCCGGGGATCCTCACTGACATCTCACAGGATTGTTGGGACAGTCTTCCCAAGGAGAGATGGGCAGGGGGGTGGGGATGGTGCCTCTCTAGTCCCAGGCATACTGTTGAAATCTTCTCTGCAAGGTCACAGCTCATACCTGTCATCTTGGCTGGAGTGCAGGATTCTGTCCACCTACCTCCCTGGATGTCTTGCAGTCTTGAACTTCTTTGGAGAAGAGCCCCGCGCTAGGCACTATCCTGGTTGACCTTCTCCACATAATCCTGGGTTCCACAGTTTTCCAGATAAGAACACAGTGGGGGGAAAATGTCACTCCCACGCTAACCCCCTGCTAGTCCCTGGACCAGTGACTCTCAAAGTCATGGGATGGTGGAGACAGAGTACTATCTCCTGCTAGAAGGTTCTGATTCACCTCCCTGAAGGTTTCTCCATCCCCTCCAATCTCCTTAGGAAATGATTGCTAGGGGAGAGGGGTCATTCCAGGGAGAACCAGACATGTCCTTTCAGGTGTGTTGAGGACATTTGGGAGGATTCTGCAGGTGGTGAGGTATGTGTGTGCTGGAGGGGCCTGTCTTCTCCCTTCCCCTCTACTCTCTGAGATGTATTGGGGGAAATGTGTAGGAAAGTAACGTCCACGCATCTTAATTCTTCCGATGCAGATGTTGAGGTGGGCACTAAAAGTCCACTTTCTAACAGGAAGGGGTGGGGTACAGACACTCAACCTCTTTCTCCCTGCAAATCAATGCCACACGAGTCTAGGTAAATTGGGTGCCTCTCCTCTATATCTTTGACCCATGAAAAGTCAATGTGGCATGGAACCGAGGACAGGTAGTGAACTAAGGTGGCTCAAAAGACTTGCAGGGATGACAAATGGGTTTCAGTGGGTGGTAGGAGCTGCTGAGCGTTCAACGATTATCAGTCATCAGTAAGATTTGGGGATGATTTCATGTGACAAAAGGAATTAGAGTTGATTTGAGATTACAGCAAGATCAATTCACATTACCTTACTTGCCTTCAAAACACACCATGAATGGGAGGGAAGGAAAGGAAAGGCCACGTGCACCTGTAGTCCCCACCCCTTGCCAAGGAGGCTGTCCCCCCAGAGGCACCCAGAATGGGGCTAATGACGATGCATCATTGCAGAGCTTTCTTTCCTCACACAATTTCTTTTCCTGTTTCATCAAAATCTAAGTGCATCCATTGAACCTTGTCACGAGTGGGGACTCCATCCATCAGGTATGACAGAACAGGGAAAAAGATGGTGAGATGTGCTGGTCTGGGTATTTTCTGAAAGCTGCCTTCTGACCTGCAGTGGGGGAGAGGGGCTAGCCTTGGAACCAGGTGGAGAGAAAGGTGGTGGTGTGCTGCCCACCCTCACTTGCACAAACCAGTTGAAAACCAAAACCAAAGGAAGGCCCCTTCATCTCATCACAGAATCACCTCTGGAAAACACTGACAAGCTGCCAACATTGCTTTCCAGCGGTGAGGTGGAAGGAATGTGGTGTTTGGGATGGAAATGAGTCAGGGATGCTGGAACACAGCCCTGTGCTCCGCCAGAGATGGTCCTGTATATTTTCACGGGGATGAGAGAAGGTCGCTAAACTCTAAACTATGTCTTTTTGATGTCTCACGAAAGACTTAGGTCCATTGTCCATGCTACTAAAGGAAGCTGGATGCCGATGGAAGTTATGGGACAGCTAAAGCCCCAAAGCTACTCTTGTTGCTCCCATAACGGCATGGCTCCAAAGCCAGAAGGCAATTTTGGATTCTTCTCTTACTACCACCATGACATGTCTTTCATTTGGCAAACATGTGCTTTATTTTTTTTAAAGTTTTAATTTAAATTCCAGTTAGTTAACATGGAGTGTGATATCAGTCTCAGGTGTACAAGACAGTGATTCCACACTTCCATACATCACCCGGTGCTCATCACAAGTGCCTTCCTTAATCCCCATCACCTGTTTCTCCTCTCCCCGCAACCACCCCCCGCCCAGCGACCATCAGTTTGTTCTCCGTAGTTAAGAGTCTAGACAAACGTGTGCTTTAAATGTACTATGCCCAAGAAACCACAGTAAGCTTTAGCCAAATGCCAAGGGGATTTGAGATTTTGCCCCACAGGAATTAGGACCACGATGGGCTGGCAGCAAACGTATGTGCCCATCAGATTACCCTCTGCTTACAACCTTCCCACCCCTTGGCACTTGGAGTGGCTACTGGCATATCCATCTGTTCCAACACTTGCCACTGGTCCTGAACAGGACTTCCTGGACTGACCTCCATCCTGTAACCAGCAGGAGTTCTCCATTGATGACCCAGCTTTGTCCCGCATCATTGTTGCTATGGTGACAGTCACTCATGAATGCATTAGGA